CCTCCCCGAAGGGCCCGCCTGCGGCCCTGGGCCGCGCGCCCGCCGCACAAAGCCGCGGGTTTCCCCGCGCAGTCAGGCAAAACGGATGCTGGCTGTAAGGTTCTCTTTTCATGTGGTTTTTTTTTTTTCCACATTAGTGGCCTGGACCTCTATTCTTTGCATCAAAGGAGCTTCGGGTCTTCTAGGATGAGTGCATTGTGTATTCACCAAAGGAATGCAGTGGCATTTGCTTTTTGATGGGCATATAGGCAAAATTCAGGATTACGACCTTTGTACTGCAAAGGTTGGGCCCTTCACTACCGCTGGCGTAAAATAAAATGGCTGAGAAAACACCAGCCAAGTGGTGTCATTCGCACAGCACCAGTGGAGACATCTCAGCTACATCCTTCCCACCTCGCATCCCTGCTGTGCCCTTCGGGCTGTGAGTACCATCAACTGCTCAACAGATCATCAAAACTCCCATAAAAAACAGCCCAAGATTTATGGCAGGCCCAGCACAGGTACACCCAACTCCTGCTTCCTGCTCAGTGCCAGCTGGCAGCAAGGTTCTGACAGTGGCCCAGTGCAAAGTGTGGCCATGACTTCACTGTCACTGTGCAGTCCCACACCAGTGCTGCGAGAGGTGCTGCCTGGGTCTGGGTCCGCTCTCGCCTCTCATCACACTACAGGCACAAGGTGCCCAACGCACCAATATAGGAATGCTCAGCTTCGCTCCACCTATCTTGAGTTACAGCTCTCTGTCTCCATTTTACAGCCCTGTTAGAAAGTCTAAAAATAGATGGTTGGACTCAATCCTATTGCAATTTCTCAGATCACTATCAAGAATTGGCCTGATTTCTCAGAATTGTTCCTAAGGCAAACTCCTAGTTTTACATCCCCATATTTGGCTTTTGTTTTGTTTTTAGGCAGGGAAATCTAGTCTGTGTTTATGGGCTAGAGTAGTAGCTGGAACGATATCTTTTTCACCAGTGCTTTGCACACATGCTTTTTTAACTAGAGTTTTCCTTACGATTGTTAATCCTGGAGGAGGAATTTCCTATTGCATTCCTCACAGCAGGAGAGCAAGAGGGAGAGGCTGCTCTTTCTCTAGCAATATCCTTTTCCACCCTTCCTGTTTATATAACATTTTTGTTTAACAGGACAGCGCCGGCTGACAGTGACTTTGCCCGAGCTATAGCTCCCTTGCTCTCCATACATTTAAGCTGGTTGCAGCCCACTTGTGTAGCCTTTCCGGACTGCTTTTCCTTCACCTCCCGGCTCGAGCTGAGGAGCAGGTCAGGAAGGTAGGTCTAGTGCCAGGGCTCTGATGTGACACCGCTGCTTCCCTGCTGCACCCAGAGCTGCACGGCTGTCTCCAAGGCTGGGACACATCGGGGAAAGGACGAGACGCAGGTTAGAACCTCTCCCTCTGGAAAGGGATAGAGGCGTTTCCAAGACACAAGTAGCTTAACAGACCAAAAGGGGAGGTTTCAAAACGAGGTCAAGGACAACTGTGTGCAGCAACTCCGCCCAGGGAGGACTGGCGTGGTGCCGAGGACCGGTGGATTCTGCTGGCTTGCACAGAGTTGTCCCCGTGCAGAGCTGTCCCGTTCCCCTCAAAACACTGGGTTTTCCAAAGCCTCCCTGCTCAACCTTTAGTGAGGAAGACACACAATGGGTACCTCAGTGCCCTGTTCCTTTGTCTTCCTTTATCTGATGGGAAGCTGAGGCCTGTCCTGGTTCATGGCTTTCACCATCACCTCAGGAACAAAAAGATGATTTTCACAGGTGCCAAGTCCAAGCAGCCCAACTTACAAGTCCACAGGCAGCGGAGTGGCCCTGAAGTGCAAGAACCATGGGATTTCTCCCTGGAAGAACAGCAGTGCAAGATGCAATGTCAGCCTCATTGTCACTGGAACTGGCGACAGTTTGGGCACTGAAGTCACTGAGAACGAGCTGGCTCAGCACTTTCCCCAGCCCCTCAGAGGAAAGGAAATGAAACAATGTGCCTAAATTAAGGAGGTGCTTTTTTCAGTGTCTAAACTGAGCACTTCCACCAACCACCTTCATGCTGACCACAAAACGTACACTGAAGTGGAGAGGACAGCTGACCCCAGCACAGTTCTCTACTGACAAGGCAGAAAGCTGAACTGCTGCCTCTCAAGGTGAGTGGCAAATACGGTTTACCCAGACAGCGACAGCCTGAGCCTTCAACAGCATTTTGGTGCCCAGCTTTCACTGACGTCCCACTGCAACGTGAGGAAAATCCTGCGCTCCCACAAAACATACACTCTGCATTTTCCAGTGTGTTCCTGGGTATGTCAATGTGGATCTGGGAAGAAAACATCATGTTAGCTGTGATCCTTCTGAGCAGGAAACCACAACCTGAATTCTGGCCTCCTGAATGCAGAAGGAGCTCAGATGAAGTTTCAGGTACTTTCAAGGACTGCTCACTCTCAGTTGCTGTGGCTCACCTTAGGTATTTCCAGAAGATATTCCAGAAGCGATTTTCTGGTAGATCTGGATTTCGCCCTAGATTTTGGCAGGACAAATGATCTAAGAAATTGCTTGGTGCAAAAAGTAAACGCCAAAAACCCAGAAAAGATAGCTCCCGAACTGATGGGAAACGACTATACACATTTTTCAATAAGTAAAATACAATTTATTGTATTTAAGCCATTCATAAGTATCAACACAATGTAGTATGTTTGAAACAAACATCTTACCAATAAATACTATCTAAACATTAATATTAATCTTTTGATCAAACGTGTACAGTGTATTGACTCAATATTGCTCAGTGAGCTCTATATGACGTTTCCATAGTGCATTCAGTTTGTTACAGGGATAGTTTGCCACAAATATTGCAAAGCATCAGAGTTGACTTTTCCAAGTGAAAACAGCTGAACTATTTCATTAGGGACTGAAGGCTGATACAGATGTCAGTGGCCTAGGTTAATTGGTTATGGATTCATGGAACCTCATGTTTTCATGAATGAGGAAACTTTGTTTCTAATGTAATTTTTATAGAATTGGGAAAAAATCCCACTTCCAAATAGAATGAGGATATTATTATCAAACTTATGTGAACAGCCATCTCCAGTGATCAGCGAGCTTGTGATCAAGCTTGTTTTCTCTTGTTTCAATCTAAATATAAATCCTATCTTTGATCTTTTCAGAGATGTATCTCACCGCTTGCATCTCAGAGGTCAGACCATGCAAGCCCCCAGCATTACTCCGGCACTTTGCTCCCTCTGTGCCTCTACTCAGCTTAGACTGAGGAACTGTCAGCACAAGCACAGGTGACACACTCTAGTCTCAATAGTTTTCAATGTATCAATGCAGAGACAATTTCCCAATAGTTATATAATTAACTGTATCTCAGCTTCATCTGATTAAATCTTAATTCTACCGCATCAGCTCTGCACAGAGGTAGTCCTGCCAGTTTGTGTTGTGCTACCGTGCTCACACAGGGCTGGGTGCTGCCAGCGATGCGGCTGGCTGTACCACTTCCTGAAGCCCAGCAGCTCCTGGATCAGACGGGCCTGTGTGCTCTGGTGACCAGGGGTCAAATGCTGGCAGGACTGCGGCTCACAGCAGGTGTCCAACAACTCACTGTCGTTCGCTCTCAAGCCCAGGTACGCCTGAACTACGCCCAGCCAGCAGGAAGCTGCCGTTCAGAGCAAGGACGGTATGGTCTGGCTTGTAAGGGTCAACTCGCGTTTGCATGAACTCACCCTCCTCTGACACTGCAGGAGGACCTCAAGATGGGCACATACTGCCTCAATAGGCGTTTCAGCGACATTGCCCTGCCGACATGGTGTGAACTGCCCAAAATGCAAGTAAGAATCATGATCGTAGAATGACTGTGGCTGACTTGGAAAAGATCTGACCATCAGTATAACGGTGCTTAGTGCTTAGCATGTAGTATTCCTTTAAGTAAAAGAAAATTCACTCACCAAGTGATACAATTAAAAATTTCTAAGAAACTACTGGTTAAGTATTACCTCATGATTACGTAAATCATGTTTATATCCCTCCTCTTTGCAGATTATCAGTTTGTATATATTTAGATTCTTTATATTCAGGTAACAGAGATGAAATACTTATTTTATCTAAAAAGATGGGAGGAAAAAACAGGGATTGAAAGGATTCCTTTTCTGTACAAAAAATACATTTTTATGGCAACAGACAGTACCTTCACAGTAGGTCCTTTGCTCCTCCACCTAATACCAAGGTTCAGTCATCCATAACGCCATCATAAAGTATCAGAATTGTTTTTCTTTCCACTTTTCAACACCAAAATTCAACGCACTACTACAGAATGTTTCCAAAGTCTTATGCTACATCCTGATAAAATCAGGAATCTCTTTTTCTTTTTTTTTCTTTTAAAAAGGAACTCAATTCATGCAAATAAATACATAATGTGCACTGAAATACTCAATTCTATGATACAGAGAGATATGACTTCAGAGAAAAGTCCCTTTACAGTTATCTAAACTAGTTCTAATAAAATAGGATAGTTCTAAAACAGAATTAAAAACATTTCATTGTACTACGAGTTGATGTTTGCTATGTGTCCAAGCAGATTACATTTTCTACCTAGCTGTGTTAATCTGTGGGTTCAGTGTCACTCTTTTGTAGTGTAGCGAATATTTGATTTTGAGGGGTGGCTTTTTTATGCAGTTTTTGTAGTCCAGGGTTTCGGTCTTCATTTGATTCTGTATACAGGATCTCAGGTTAAGCCCAGATCTGCAGAGAGAGAGTTGAACAATTGTTTATGACATTGACTATTCTATCAAATGTTTAATTAAAATTTGGCATGGCAGTCAGATTAATGGCACAGAGTATCAGCAGTGATGGTATTATTTAAGCCACAAATTCAAAATGTAACAGTTCTGCTAGCACTTTGTGGGGCTCTTTTAATTTGAATTTTCTGTTCATGCTTTACACTGTGTTTTTATACCCTTGTTAGTCCCTCTAGAGTCAGTCTTCCTGTAACAACCCTTTCCCCTCGCCCCCTTTTTTTAAACAATCAAACCAACAAAGAAAGAGGCATCCAAAGTGAGCGCTCCCAGCACTTACTCGGAGAGTGTGGTCCCAGGAGCCCGAGCAGAACGCTGTCCCATCAGGAGAGACCCGCAAGGTGCTGACACGATTTTCGTGCCCAAACAGAATGGATACACGGGACCCTTTCAGCACATCCCAGACATTTATGGTGTAATCATTATAGCCTGCAAACAGTAGGCGACCTACAAAGAGATTTCACAAGGTGAGGTCTTCAGTGGGTGACACGTCTGGACTGCAGCGAGGGCCTTCTGCAGGACATCCATCACCCAGCAAGCCACAACCAGCTTTCCCGTGCCACCCTCTGCACACAGTGAGCCCCCATCACTGCTTCCCCCAGGCTAGCTGTGCTCCTGTGAGGCACCCCTGCTCCACTGCTGAGCTATCCATACTAAATGCTGAACCACTTAAAACTGATTAGTTAAAAATATAGTTAAAATGGGGTTAAAATATATAGAATCTGCTCAGTCATTAGAGATGGAGGATGACTCCAAATCAAGACAGACCAAAGAGCACTTCAACAGCTAATGCAGGGCAATACTATTTTGCTCAGACTTCACACAAGAAGCTGAACACAAATGGTTAAATGATTAGTAAACAATCTGGTAAGCAATCCCTCGTCCCCAACCGGACAAGCAGTGGTGCTTGTGACCATGACAGAGACATCCGCCTCTGTCCCAGGCAGAGGGCAGCTCACCACCCACTCATCCCCACGCAGGGTGACTGGGGGAGCTCTGCATTTGTGCTGGGGAGGAGAGAGAAGACTCAAGCTCACGTCTCCAGATCTCTAGTGAAAAATTGTAATGTCTCTGTCTTCATGCTCCTCTAACATACTTTTACTGTCTATTAATCACTTATTATCCTTTAAAAACTATTTATGTAAGTGTGCTTAATAGTCACATTTCATGCTTCCTTTGAAATGTTTTTAATCATTGTGAAATTCTAACCCAGCTGTAGTTAATGGCAAAATATTTCCTGCCTTCAGTAGGGCTGGGAAAATACATTTCATCGCTACAACGAAGCAATGGCCACCTAGGTTATTTAAAAAGAAATTATTTTTACAGAGACACAGGACAGCTTCCATGCGTTACATGTCTCTTTTGGTACTTAGTATTACTTTTAATAACTTTCGTAACAAATGCTTTAGCAAATGGAAGTGGCAAAATTTTACGTTTCTCTCAAATCCCAACATTAAGATAACCTTCAAAGTTCAGGTCTCACCGCTGAGAGAGAAGTCCACACTGGATGCTCCAAAAATGATGCTCTCTTTGGAATAAATTGCTACTTCTCTGTCTGCACGAAGGTCATATAAACGACACTAGGATTAAAACAAAACCAACACATATGCCTCAGTAAAGGCTGGAGTCAATGGCTACTACATTTCACTGAAAAAATGGGAGTGGGAAAGATTGCAGCCTAACAGGCATCATGGGAAGCGGCTGCTTGGTTTCTCTCCTTCTGCTACTTCTGCCCGCTGTAACTCTGACTCTTCTGGAGTCTAACAGGGATCTAAAGCAACACAAGGCTGTTTTGTATAAACTGAGTGAAGAACTTGCTTTTCCAAAGCACTTCTCTAAGCCTCTTGCCTGTCCTGCTATAAAGAGATGAGTGATAGGCCACCCACTGAAAGTCCCCCCACCCTCTTGCCTCCCCACTGTGGTTTCCTACGTATTAGGGCATCCTGCTGCTGGTGAGCTGCATGGGGAGACAGTCTCTAAAAACAACAGTTTAGTCTGGGAGACAGAGGATTAAATCTGTAGTCATCTTTTAAGAACGCAGGCCACATGGCATGGTGCTCAGGCAGTCCCTTGGCACAGGGAAGCCTAGATGCTAGCCCTGGCTCTGAGTAAGACATGATAGCAAACAGCCCCCGCCCTTCCGTGAGGCCCCTCCGTCTAAAAAACCTACATGGAAATAATCCAAGTGAAATAATACATTTTTATACAGATCTTTGGGTTTCATTTCTCATGGAAAATCCTGAATCACCTCTCCAACCTGCACTTCCTGTTTTTATCATTTGCCAGCACACTTGGGCTTGTTCAACATGGAAATAATGTATAGACAGACCAGACCTCATTGCCACGCAGTAAGGCAGTTTGTTAGCCCTGAAATCAAAATACACTTCCAAAACTATTTGAACTGAAAACCTTCCTCAATAAGTTAAGTTTAAGCAAACACTGGCCAGACGGGTTTGTTAATATGAAGACTTTGCTAATGAAAAATGGCTGGTATTCAAGCCTGCGCATAAAGGAGAGGCTGTTTCATTTGCAGGGCAGTAGGGAGTTGCCAGGTATGTGACATCCAGGTCTCCCAGTGCTCCACGCTGTTGAATAATTCCATCAGACTGTCCTGACAGGGAGTCAGAGTCACCGCAGGTGACAGCACTGCCATGTGAGCACGCTTTTATGGCTTCCCTCCAGACAGTCAGGATTATCTGTTCCTCGAAATCCCTAAGTATACAAATCAGGTCAAGGATACCAGTCAGGGCATCAGTCCACAGTGCTGAAATCACCAACTTCTTCATCTAAAGAATGAAGTAGAGGGAAACTGCCAAAACTTCTGTCAAAAGTACAGAGATGGAATTTCCCATTCTCCTGCTCAAGTTGGGAATGTCAGGAATAGTTAAGAGAGAAAAACCCCATCAAACAAATTAATAAGCACAGCAGCCCAGAGCCTGTGGTACTGGGCATAAAAAGAGAGTGCTCTCATTGGAATTTAATGATGGACAATTTCTCCATCTCACTCCCTCAGTATCTCAAGTGCTCACAGTACTGCATCTGAACATGTGGAGAGCCACTGGGCTCACCACAGAGCTAGAGATATAAATTTATAATCACAGCTTTTAAGACCTAAAGGCAGTGTACGCTCTCTTCAGAAAAGCCTTGGAAGGTCTGACATCCAGTGAAGACAAAGGGAATGTTTCTATTGAGTTCAGCTAGTACTTGAGCAGACTCCGAGGGCAGAGTACTTCACCCTCATGCAACTCGGTGTGATGTTAGGACAAACATGAGAAACAAGGTGCCTCCCAAATGTCTGCTCTCAAGTTACACAACTGCCAGCTCAGTCCCTGCAGGGCTGTGGAACAGGCAGAGCCTGGTCCCCCATGGGGACCCACCAGCTGCAGCAAGAGCCACAGGCCGAGTACATCACTTGGGAGCCTGAAGGCACCAGGAGGTTAAGTGGCATTTTGCATACAAGGTGCTGACCAAAATTACCTGTCAATGCACACTGTGTCCCTCGTAGCAGCTTGCTCATAGACAAGCAGGATCCAGGAAGAGCTATTATATCATTTAGGATGACCTGTCTGCAGTGACTCATTGCAGTGAAGAGCGTTGGCAGTGAGTCAGGCTGACAGGGAGATGTACGTGGCCAAGGCCACCCTGGGGCTGTGCTCTCAGGATGGGCAGGGCTGCGGAGGCCATCTGACCCGGTCTGCCCAGTTCCGTGCGGAGCCCGCGGCCCCTCTGCTCGCCAGGACGTGCGCACTCACGTGCAGGCTCCTTTCATGCCCTTGCACTGTGCTGCTCCTTCTGACACAAGCTGCAGCACTTCATCTGGTTCCTCCTAGGTTGTGACCAACAACTATATGAAGCCAAATCTCTTCCAGTAAGACAGCTAATTGTGATCACGAAACTTCGAAACAGAAAATCTGAAATGAATATTTGGACAGTACCTCACGTAGAAAAGTTTGCAGAGGTGACCTACAAAGTGTTACCAGATTTTTCCTATAGCATTATATATAGTATTTAATAGATATTATATTACAGCATTATTACTCTGCAACTTCAGTGTCACAGGCCCAGTTTAGTCACTTAAAGTTCTCTGTAAATGTGACCTAGTCTTTTAGCAAAATCTGACCCGGGAAGTAACAGAACTTCCCTAAATTAGGTTGCTGAATTAACATACCGTGGCATCATCTGAACCAGAGGCAAAAGCATCTCCACTTGGGTAATATCTGTGCACGAGTAAAAAAAAGACCAGAACACATTACATTACTTGGATGAGGTCAGACTTCAAAAATAGAACCAGCGCACTGTTCAACATCGCAAATGTGTCCTCTCCCAGAAACATACTGACCTGACACTGTTGATATCTGAATCATGGGTTTCAAATGACTGGATGCACTGACCGGACCGCATATCCCAAACCATGGCTTTCTTGTCACATCCCTAATAAGAAAAAAATTCACTACGGTTGTGCAAATGATGACATTCATCCCTCACGTGCCTGATACACGTCATCAAGCCCAGCTACATTCAAATGCTCTGAACACCACAGCTCTGAGGGGATTTAACCAGCAAAGCAGCCCCAGAACTGGCTGTACTGGTACCCCCAAGCCTGGTGCAGTTGCAGTTAGGAGCAGGATCCACCACGAAGGCTGGAGCCTCAGTGGTGCTGCCGACCAGCACAGCACCGTGCAGGGCAGAGAGGCCTGGGGGGCTGGCGCAGGCAGTCCCATACCCACCGCCACTCACAGCCCTGCTCTGCTTGTGCTGCTGCCCTACTTGTGTCTGCAGCCCTGCCATGCCACAGAGCTGACTGACTCACTGCCTTACCACTTAACATGCCCAATTTAAAAAATTAATACACGGCATTTAAAGTTTCATAACTAATTATTTTCATACACCAAAATAGCAAACGAAATAAGTGCATCTGGAGGGTCTCTTGCCCAGCCTCCTACCGGAGTTAACCCCTGCCATGGCTCTGCACCCATGTGCTCAATGGTGTGGCTGGGACGAGAAAAGAAGCATAACAGCATTTTAATCTCATTTTCAAGCTCCAACCTGGCCTTCCAAGCTGTGCTTTGAAAAGATCATGTAACACTCAGTGCTTGCTGCAAAGTGCTCAGTACCCTGAACGCTCTGGGCCAGGGGCTCAGCCCACTTAGTCTGCGTCCTCAGGGTAGGAACCTTCTCACACCCATAGGGCCATGCTCTCAGCTGCAATGTCTCGCTGCTGTCACAACTGCAGCGACAGAAAAAAGAACACAGACTTTTAAGAGTGACGGGAGATTTTAATAAATATGACCCCGCTGAGGGGCAGGTTGGCGGTAGGCTCAGCGCCAGGGGGCTCAGCCCCTCTGGGGCTGCGTGGGAAAAACAGGGCAGGCCAGACGGCTGCTGCTTCTGCCAAGCTAGCACGTCCTGCCCCACAGACCGTGCCACACATGTTATTTATTTTTAAGCAAATATGATTGCTAATTAAATTAAACAGTCTCTTCATAATTCACATCTTTATTTTTTTTTAAACTCTCTTGTTAAAACGAAATCCTAGTCTTTTTACTAATGATGTCATCCTTTAAAAGAGGTAATGCTCCTTTGTACTAACTTGTGGCTTCTGTCCAGGGGAAACCAAACAGAGAACATTTTGGACTCGGCACATTTCCCTCTCAAGCCCCACCACAGCCCAAGCCCAGCTGTTTGTACTGCTTCCATGTGCACTGTTCTTACTGCCCTCTCTGGGATTGAGGGGGCAAAACCAATCTGACAAGCTGGTGCTTTGACTCCAAAGGTTTTGAAGGAGAAATCAGCAACCACCTGTGGAGAGACGGACCCCCTGAGTGCTATCCAACTTGCCCCAAGGGACAGCACTCAGAGGACACTGAGCACAACAGCCCGGGACGAAGCCCTGACCTCAGCCAGGCGGGCTGGGATTTTCAGTTAGGTCATTAAATGTAACAGCACCCAGTCTGCACACTGATGTACTGGCGTTGCTTATTCCAGCTCGAGGTCACTGTATTACACAGGCAGAACATACAGGGAGTCTCTCTATGCCACCATACTTTCAGGTTGCACTGTTTTGGCTATACCTGCATTGACACCATATAAGATGGATCTTCACTGAAGTGGTATTTTGCACGTAATGAATTAAGCGAGTCCCTGTAAGCATGGACATGCCCGAGCTGCTACACTGACACAAGTATGACATACTCTCTTAGCAGTAACATAGCTGCTTGCTATTCTTTGCCCTATAATAAGCTGAGCTGTTCCCAGGGAGAATGAATCTATCCTTTCTGGGAAGCAAAGTCGGTGACAGGAAAGCCCAGGAGGGGTAATGCACTCGGATAGAATTAGCTTTCAGTCACGCTTCGGAGCAGCTGTGATAGCAGCAGGAAAACTGGGCCAGCGTGCTGGGCTCTGCTTCTCACAGGCCAGCCAAATTTGATAAAAGAGTCGTAACAGAAGAGGTCCAGGTTTACTGTGTAGGGATGGGACCATGAGTCCAAGCCCAACAAGCAGAATCCCCTAATCCATGGTCGGCACCCTCTAGCACAAGGGCCGTTTCCATCACCAAGCACAGGACCAGCCCTGGACCAGCACTGGTGGGGCTCAGAAACCAGGTACCTTCAGCAAAGTTACTGGTAGCAACCTGCCTCCAGTAAGAGAGGTCATCTTTCAGTTCCCAACAGCTCTCACCTGCACACTCAATTTCTGACACGGGAAAGACCAGAACCACCTCGAAAAGGAGCTGAGCCCCATCTCACTCACCTTTATGTCTTGCCTGCCTGACCGCCAGGCTGCATGCCAATGGCTCAGCTGCCCGGGAACAGTGATCCCTCAGCAGCAGGACAAGATCTGTAAGATGCCCTGGGTACTTTCCCAGACCAGCCCTGCAACCCCAGTCAGGTTTGCATGTTCCTCTGGGCCAAGACAGGGAGCGGGCAGTGTTCGACCGACGAAGGGGCTTAAAATGCCTCTGGTACCGCTGGAAGGCACCAAGGATTCAGCAACAGCTGAAGATGTGGCCGCACCTCATCGCCCTGCTCCAACTTTTATGAGGGTCAGCCAGCGCCCAAGCTACCCCTTGGCTTCTGGGGAGTGGTTGAGGGACATAGCAGCACGCATGTTATTTGCAGCCCCATTTTGATGCCCTGAGCAGCCGCCTGGCACACCCTGCCTAGCTCCAGAGAGCGAAGTTCAAGAAAGGAGCCAGATGCAGGAGGTGGTCTGCTGTGCCGAGTTCCTATCCACAGGAGCTCACACCTCCACTGCGGTACAAGCCCACTGCTCTGACTCTGAGCCTTTCCCTTCCCTGGAGAGGCGTTGTTTTGATCTTGGGCTGGATTGCTTTGGTGTGGGATGGAATTTGCTAAGTAAGCAGAACTGCAGTCAGACTGGCTGGGTGGGTTTGACCCCACAGTCAGGGGTTTAATTTGCTCCAGCTTGGAAAATGTGCTTGCAATGAGTGGATTGCACTGGGGCTTCCAACACATACTCTAGCACTCCCTCAGCAAGACCATGAGCCTCCTGCTTTGCTGCCCTTTCCCTTCCATATTCCTTAATTTTACATTACGATAGGAAGCTCCCGCTTACCCCAGAGACAAATGTATTTCCCGTTTCAGAAGGGGCCAGGTCCAGGCACAGGACATCAGCTCCATGACCATGGAAACTCTGTAGAAGCTGCCCACTCTCAACATCCCACAGAGCACAAGTTCCATCTCCACTTGCTGTCAGGATCTATAGGATGCGGCAAGAAGAATCACAACAGAAAAATCAGCAGATCATCTTCAAGTTCACAAAGAAACAACTGACATCCTATACATACACCAAGGGCAGCTTTAATTTAATGAAATATTATGCAGTAAATCAAAGCCATAAAACCAATATGAATCTAAGCACAGTTTATGGTTTTTTATTTTTAAGGAAAGAAGTTAGAGTGGAAAGAAGAGCTGTATTGACATAGCTATACCCACAAAGAGTTTCAATAACGGTCAGTTTTGTGCAGTGGGGTTTGGGGAACTGATGGCAGTAAGGATCTGCCGGCACTTCCATATCCTCAAAAAAGGAGGTAGAACCAGACTGGTATTCCTGTCTGCCCCTGTATTTAACCCTATCCATATTTAGGCTGCTAGAATTCAACCTGGGTAAAGAGAAGAACTGTTGGAGTTAAGTATACCTGTTTAACTCTCTAAATTTCTTTTCTGCTTGAAATAGCCAGGTTAAACCAAATTAATTTGGCTTAAGACATAGATTTTCTGAAAGGGAAGTAAGCCTGTCTAGACAGTTGTTTGGTAAGTCCATCACCTCTCACTTGTCCAAAACCATTTGTGTGTGAAAGGGCTTGAACATACACTGACCGAACATAGCTCACAGCTCCCCTCATCTGCTACAGTGCTTGTAGAAAGCACATGTGATCAGTGCCTGTTATTGTGGCTAAATCCTGATGATGCTCCATTGTTCAAAATTTCCCCTCGGCACCCGAAGCTGTTACGCAATCACAAATTCTGTAGGTTGAAAGGGTCCTTGTGCACTCGCGTGGAAGGAGGCAAGGGTGAACTTAGGAGGGCTCTCAGTCTCGTACACAGGTTTTTCTCATGGTCGGTGAGGAAACTCAATGGACCCCAGTGGGTAGTTAGAAGTTAAAAAGAAAATACTCTTCAGGCAGAAAATGATCACATAATCATGAAACCATTCACAGGGTTGCACAAAGGTTAAACACTGAACATGTTTGACAGATGCTCCAAAAACTCTTCCCATAAACAGAGGTCTGCAAAGCTGCAGAACAGACTGTTCCAAATCCTGCAGTAGAGAGACGCTAATACTCTGAGAAGATAATAGCAGAAAAAAGTCCTGACTTGTCTTTCTGGCCAGCTTTTGAGTCTAAATCAATGAACCTCTCTGTTCTGAGGAATATTTGTACTTGGCTGAGGAATGAAGACTTTCAGCTCTTAAGTATTTGCTCTTGTAATAGTGTGTAAGGAAGATATGAGGGGAACAGGAGTAGCCAGAGGTGTAAGGGAAGGGTCTGTTGGCAACTCAGAGCTCCGGCTAACGCTTAAAGAGAAATGTAATGGACTCAACTTCAGGGTATGGATATTGAAAACCAAACCAAACCAAACCAAAAAACCCTCCAAAAATCTAAAACCAGAAGAAAATTAACAATCCTTGCTACTAGGCTCCAGCTTGCTGCACAAGGAGCTCCGGCAGCACCGGGCGGGGATCCTCGCCTGATGGGAAGAGCCAGCACTTGCACAGGGCAGGGAACAGCAGGGACACAGCCCCCACTGGCCAGGAGCACATGCACCAGGGCTGGGAGCAGCAGCGAGGGCAGAGGGGCCACGCTTACCTCTGCCTCCTCTGCCATCACCTCAGGCCTCATCCTGCTTCTCAGCCCTGCCGCACCGGCAGTATGGCTGCCTGCCCTATGCCAAACACTTGAGATCCCAATTAACCGTTGCTATTAATATACATGGAGCATTGTCACGTGGGGAGCATCATCACATCACAGAGCTGTAGGTACCTAATTTAGGAAGTGAGGCTCCCTGGCTCTCTGCGTACTGAGGCAGTGGAGGCTTCTTCTGGCGAGACTCATTGGGGGCACCGAGAACAAGGTGCTTGGGTCACCCAGCTCTGCAGTTCAGCGCTTGCCGTGGCCCACGTGGGAACACGATGAGAAGCAAGGATGGGACCCCTTCTTTCAGAACCCACACCGTCTGAGAGTGGCTGTAATCAGTGGTGACCTACCCCCAGATCTCCCCTCTTTCCTTTGCACTGCTAGATGCCTGTGGGCACACCAGCTCCTAAACTCTCCCCATGTCTTTCATTCCTGAGGGAAAACCGAGCTGCAGTTTAAGAAAGCAGACAGGGCAGAGCAGCAGCATTCACAGCACCTAGCAGTGGCTGCTGTAGGGGCACTGGGCTGGGGGACACCTCCACCACGCGCTAGGGCTGCTCCAGGACAGGCACTACATCCCCCAGTGACGCGAGCTGGGAGAGCAGAGCTGCTCCACACACAGCTGGGAAAATCTGCTTGTTGCACTGTGCACCCTCAGAGTTACAGAACAATTTTAATTTTGAGGCTGTTATGTAAAAGGAAAAAGATAAGAAATCTTGGATTCTCTAGGATCCTCTACATAACAGTGTCCTAACAGAAGCTTGGCTAACCCACCTGCTTCTCTTTGTTTCAATAATAACACGCAGCCCTATAAATGATCACTTATAAGCCTAACAATCACAAGAAAATGTCTTTTTGAAGTCTTCAGAAAAACCTCTGAATCACTGAATATAAAGCACCTGAATCCACTGTGGATTTAACAATAGTAATACATTACCTTCAATATCAATGCAGTTTGATGTATTTAATATGGAGAAAAAAGACCCAACTTTTCTTTCTTTTTTTATTATGAAAAATAAATAACTATTTTCTCTTTCATAGGATTTAATCAAGATGCATATGGGTATGGACAAGAAAAGAGAACACTGGTTTTCTGTCTCATCAAAAACATTCCACCTAATTTAGCCTGCTCCAATTACAGAGGGCTCCTGCACAGTAAGGTCAGGACTAAGCAAGCCCGAGCACTGGGTACCTCCACCAGTTGTTTCCATGGCAATGGACTTAAATTAGCACCTTGGAGTCATTACAGAAACCATAGACTGACAAACAACAACATACTCTCGGGCATCTCATGTCCTGAAATAGAAGCAATGAGAGCTGATATTTCCTTCAGAACAGCTCCAAATACCTGGAAGAATGGGACAAAGTATTCCCTTTCCAGCAGCTCTGCTGACAGAGAGCAATGAAAATGCTCCCTTCTGCCACTTATTTTGCTGCAAAGCTGCACTGAGCAGAGTTTCAATTAAATTCAAAAACCAGAGAGGACAAGGAGATTATCCCGGCTCCTTTCATCATCTTTTGTGTTCCTGGAGAAAGAGACCTTTGAAATACTCACTACAGAGGAAGGCTGGCCTGGTCTCAGAAGGTCTGCATTTAGTTCCTGGCTTTGCCATCATCTCCTACTGTGGGCCTCTGTGCTCCAAACCCCCAGCTGTGAGAAGGGGATAGCATCCCTCCTTTCCCTCAAGGGAACATACCACGCAACGGGGCTGGCCCCGTGGGACCATCCTCAAGCTTCAATATCTCACTTGGTACAAACAAAAAGTACTAAGAATGAAAGCAAAAGCAAAGTTGGCTGGACATCCAGGACAAAGCAGGCAAATAACAAAGTCTCCATCGGCTGGCACAGCATGTACCAAATCTAGCCTGAGTCAAACTGGGTTTGTAACTATTTGTATTAGTCTGAGCTCTCAAAAGCACAAGCCGGCACAGACCCTGTGAGCAGAGAACACAGGTACCAGCGAGCTCCCTCTGCAGAAACAACAGGCCTTTGCAGGGCACAGGCATGACAGCCTGGCCACGGGCTGTGACAAGCATCTCCTTACATCAGCTTTTGCAGCACCTTCATTGCCCCCAGCGAGAGTCTTCCAGCAGCCCCAGCACGGGGCAGGCCAGGGCCCTGTGTGCCCCAGGTGCAAGGAAGGTGACTTGCAGCGTGTATGAGGGCAGCTCGCGTTAGGTGTGGCTGGACGGTGAGCAGCGGGGTAGGGAATGCATTTACCTGCATGTCTGAGTTAGTGAAGCTGCAGGCAGACAAGTAGTTTGTGTGCATTGCAACCGATTTCTTCTTTGCGGCCATATTTTCATTTTTGTCAAATGTCAGAGGGTACACAGAACACTTGTTGTCCAGGCCACTAAAGAGAGTAATAATAGCAGTAACAGAGAGAGGAGAACTGGTTAAAACTGCAACGACAAAAGGCGAGTGGTGATAAGAAGGAAACCACCTGTCAGAGCTGCGCTGCCAAAGCCTTACAAGTACCGACTTCCCTGTATTGTGCTGTCCGGGATCTCCCCATGCAGGGAAGCCCCAGCTGCCTCACCAGGCTGGCTGCTTTACAGAACTTGAACAGCTGCATCTCAGTATTTTTTACCCTCATCGAGTTTATAAATGGCACTGAATGAAACCTCACGACAGTATAAAGTGGGAGGTGACATAGCAGTCACCTCTGGGTTAAAGTTTCACATAGAGCCAAACTGCCATTTTTCTGTTGACATCCATCATTGTGAGGATCAGTACGTAAGCATCATTACTAATCTACCTTAATAAAACTGACATAACTCTACGGAAAAGATGGTATAGCAAGTAGTGAGTGTGAAGATAGGGCTTTTAGAAGGGCTTGGAAAAAAGGCAACAGAAGCACTGACCTCTGTAGCTGCTGTGTCCCTCTTGCACAGTTGCACCAGTAAAGCTGTGTCTCCCAGGCCAGATGTGGGACTCTTTTCTAAAGGGTCTGACTTGGGTCTGACCCTTTTCTAGAGCCATGGTAGATGAGCCCTGCCCCGGTCCTGGGGTCCCGGCACACCACCAGGTGCTGGTTCTGTGCCTTACATTACGTGCACAGCACTTAACTGACAGCACAACAGAAACAGAGAATTAGGTACTGCAATGCATATATGCCCTCCCTGCCTCTCTCACAAGTGTGAAGACAGAGTTTCTTGCTATTCTTCGAGTTTTAGGCAAATAGTTTTGGGACTTCCTCTCCACACACATTTATGGAGTCTGCCTGTCTGTCTCAGTCTTCTGCTTTCTGGATTTGCAAGCTTCTCTTGCCCCAAGCTTGCGTTGTCTGTCTGATCCACACAGTCCCTTTTTAAAAGATGTTTTGCTAACATATCTCTTTCTTTTCTCCCCGTCATGAACTCAATTATTTCAAACGTGAGCCCTGAGAAAATTTGGAGAAGATTATCAAGGATGGGGTTACTTCTCCCCACCCCATCTTGGCAAGATCTGTTCATGTGCTGGTAATCATTACTGACTAACCTTCTCTACACTGTAGAAGAAAGAATGCAAAGTAAGAACAGGGTTAAAACCTCTCTCCCTTAAAAGACAGATCCAACATACACAACCAAACTGGAACAGAGAAGTTGCATGCATGCAGGATTCCTAACCCATGATATAAATGCTGAAAGAGGATTATTTTCCGTGCTTACACAACAAATGTTATTGCACTGAAGTCAGTGGAGATAATGTGTACAAGCCATTATGGGAACAGAATCCGCGGCACTGAATGTAGTCCTTCCATCCACAACCAAGGCACGCAAACCTCTACCTGTCAGCATCTGAAAGCACTGGGACACCACTACAAATCAAGCTTCTCTGTGTAAGCAGCTGTGGAAACTGGGAACTTACCCACAAGCAATGGCACATCCAGACGGGGCATATGCACACGCCATCACCCAGGTACACGGCATCGTCACTGCATGTTCCTGAAATACAGCACCTCTTTAAACTGGGATGTCACTTTCCCTCATCAGTGCAAGGAAAGCAGTGTCGAGTAGCAAGTTCAGTATTTCTGTGGGACATTCTTAGGGTCAGTGAAAGGTATAGGTGTTTCCCCAGCCTTAACTCACATGTAAGGCTGGGACAAACCTTACTGCAGAACCCAGCAGAACGGCAGGAGAATGTCCCTCCTTGACACTTTCCACCTTATTCATGAGCCCCAAACTGACCACAGAGCATGTTTTTTTTTTTTTTATTTGGGTTATTCTGTGTCTAAAAAGTCCCCACTGCTACACATGTAAAAGCGAGTTTCAAACAGGCTGGTTTTACTCAGCTGTGTGGAGCAGGGTGCTGCGAGGCAGCCCTGGCAGGGCTTGGAGGAGCAGCGGCACCATTTCACAGTGAACACCATGGCTGAAGGATCCCGGGTGATCAGACATGGCACTTGGGACAGGGATTACCCAGGGAGGGCCTCTGTTTTGCTGGCTGCGCTTTGCCCCCAGCCAGGAGGCCTCCCTGTCAGCGAAGAGGCTGGATCAGAGCTTGCTGCTGAAGATCCTGAGAAACCCCCTGACAGGGACTTTGCTCAGAAACAGCTCAAGGGAGGTGTTTTGCTCTGGGCCCCTTGGTTTGAGGTGCTGGTGGAGGTTTGCATGTTATCCCATCATCCCTTTGCCTCCTGTGACACCTGTGAGCCCTTCAGTTCTCCATCTTATCCCACCGTCATTTGCCCTGTGCACAGAAATCTGACTTTTGCTGAAGTTTCACTTACCTTATTGGTAGTGAAGGAATCCCACACAATCACCTTCCCATCCTAAATGAAAGCACACAAACAGAAAGAGAAACTGAGGCCTTCCAGAGACATGGCTGTCAGCTTACTTCCCAAATTTGTGGAAAACTCTGCTGCTCATTTCCACTCCCCTGTCTGTATGTCACCACATTTTTGTCTCCATTTTAACAACAGCATAATAGTCACAGCAAAGCACTGAGGAGACACTCCTCAGTAGTGCCAGTTATGTCTTTGATCAGAAGAAAAGCATATCTCCTCCTCACGGAGATGAATGATGTTGTCTTAAAAGACCAGTATTTTTTTTTTATTTTTTTCCCTTCCCTTTTAGTGGGTTTGTGAGAACTCCTCCCACTTGCAGCACATGCCATGGACAGGACCATCTCCTGTGGAAACCTCGCTCGCCTCCTTTCAGCCACAATGTGTTCCTCCCCAGCCTGTAATCACCACCTGCAAAGCCAGGCACCTCTCCCAAGTGAGATCTGTCAGTGCCTCAGTACAGGGCCTTACAAATACAAGAGGTGACCTGTATTACAAATCACTCACCAAGCTGGCAGCACTCATGGGGACTATTTATGGACATGGCACTGCTTATTAATCTTCCTTTTCCCATCTTTTCCTGGTTTTCCCTTCACTTCTCACTACACTTAACCTTCGATTATCCATTGATACAATCTGCTAAACAGCCATTGTAAGAACCTTCACAGAGAGCAACGCAACCACTTTGTGTATGCCAGCCACACTCATGCCAGCTACTTTGCCTTATGCACATAATATTGTTATCCTTCCTGTATCATGAGAGCGAAATGCTTATTACTGAGCAACAACTGTTGCTGTACCTGGACTCACGACCATTCTTAAAATAGAGTAAAAAAATTCAAAAATGCATCACAACTTGCCTGCTCAGCTTTCTGATCTACACACTCATAACGTGTTAATCACTTAAAAAAATGTGACATTAATTGCTTAAAATTATTCTTTTTGCTGAGATCACCATGAATGGTAAAAACTCAGTTAACTGAAGGTGGCTTGCAATGCAGCTTGCCTATTTTTATCCTTCAAGGGAGACCCCTGACAGATTTCATATAGGCCAATGAACAGCTGCGAGATGCAACAAGCTCACTCACTGCCATGCTGGGCTCAAGACAAATGAGGGGATCTAGAAAGTAATTATCTCATTACCTCCTCCAGCTCATGAGACTGGTCTTGAGCAGGTGTTAGGACTGTTTCTCAAAAGGCCTGACTAAATGCAGTAATTTTGGCAGGATGTTTCAGGCTTTCAAGGTCACATCAATCATACAGACTGAAGAAGACATTTCTGTGCACAGAAAACTCTAAAAGAATCAACATTTCTTCCCTTTTCTTGATTATTTTCCCTGAACACGTAAACTGAAGGTGTTACTAAATATCTTATCTGTAAAGAACAAGGAAATAAAAGTGGCCTCAGATGAGTTTTCCAGTTTCAATTGTAGTAGGGAATATGGTGAAAATCTGTGTATGACTGGACAATAAATATTTAGGCTTTTAGCTACAACAGACGTAGTGATGATCAGAAGCTTGGATTTATGCTCTCTGAACAAATACATTGCCAATGAACTGCTTTAAGGGCATCTTGAAAACATTTACACTATACACAGGTATCACCTGCAAAGATTGGCACATAGCACAGCCATGAGATTTGTATAGAGCCCAACAGTAGCTTTAAAAACCATCTGCCCAACAGCATACCTGGGAAGAGCTCACAATTCTTCTCTTGTCTTTGCACCAGTCCATACAGAGCACTTTATTTCCATGACCCTTCAGAGTCCTCCTGGTCTTCATCACGAACTGGCCCAGTGCCTCCACACGCTCTGCCACCTGATGAACTGCAAAGGGCTGATGGTTAGAGAGCCCTGCATCAAAGCTCTGCCCCAGCAAATCTCTACATTTATGAGTAATGTCACTTGGAGAAATTAATCCATGAAGTTTGAGTCTACGGTGCAAGCCACCAAACTCTGCTTCAGAGCTGGCAGGTGGTAAAACCAAGGCGGGCAGTACATGAACATATTGACCAGATAAAGATAAGGATGAATTCACTCAGGGCTTGAATTCTGGGGCTATAGCAGATGAAGCTCATGCAGGCCATCACACCCAAGTATAACTGGAAAATAGATTACCCCCTTGCCTCCTTTTACTGGGAAATCCTCAATCTGACTGAGGCTGGAAAGTGCAGAGGCAGCCTCCAGCCTGACACATACGTCAAGGTACTCAGCAAAGCGAAGACCACTACTGGGTCTTGGAGGAAAACCATACAAAAGAAGGGGGTAAGCATCAAATCTCTAAAGTCTCAATAGTAAAACACTTGTTCTGGATGTGAGACTCCCAGCCACAGCTGGCTCTCAGCACCGCAGCAGTGGTGCAGGGTGACACAGGCACTAGCCGCTGGCGCTGGAGACTTCTCCTCTGCTGTGCCATTCTTTCTGGTGGCCAGGGGAGCACTGAGGGCCAGGACACAGCTCTGAGCGAGCAGGGAAGCTTGGCATTTGCTATAAGGGTGCACTACCTAACTTCTCAACAGTGTCTATGGACATCAAGGACTTCATGGGTGGGTCAGCTTTTTCTTTTATGGGAAAGAGAAACAGAGAGGGCAGGCAAGGAACTTCCCCAAGTAGCATTCTCTGGTGGGGGAGAAGTCACTTCTTTCATACCTCACCGAATAGCTGTACTTTCAGCTGATATTCTTAAAACCCCAAGAAATTTACATTTCCAATTGTGCAAACTCACTTTGACATAAAATTCCTCCCACTGCAGCTGACAGAACTAAAAGGTGTCTCATGTAACCCTGATGCCTCATGCTGGCATCATCCACACGAGTTTGGGAGAAAGCGTCATCTAAGGAAACCTATTTGCTCTGCTCCAGCATTGTTCATCCAGCATGGAGCTGAGCAGGGCCATGAGGTATCCTGGCACCCTGTGGCAGCTCTGACACACTTCACAGGCACATCAGGGAGGACAGGAGCTGCTTCAAGACTCACAGCAGAGCAGGGGTCCTGGGGCAGGAGACCCTGGCATCAGATTTAAAAATGATTCTGTCTAGAGAAGAGCTAACAGGATCCAGCGCTTCCCTGCATACAACAGTGTGTTTGTCCACACTGAAACCTAAGACGTCCCAGCTTCTGTTAGCTAAAGGACAATGTCTGACAAACCTACTGAAGTAAACGCAGAAGCTCACATGCTTTAGCAAGCTGATGGAGAATATCTTAAGCTTTCCAACACCATGCTGGATGCTTAGCTCCACATCCCACGTGGCAGGTGATGGCTCTGGAGCTGCACTGCTGCTTCACCCTTCCTCACTTTTCTAGATCTCCAAGAAAGCTCACGGGCTAGGAAGGGCTGCCACAGCAAGGGTGCAGGCATCCTTAACTTTGACATCTTTCCCTGGCACAGGGTCAGGGGAGCAATTTCTGCCTAAGGCAGAGGCTGATTTCTAGTGGATCAGCTTTTCAAGAGTTGTCTTTCAAAACCACCAGCCCCACAGGCTGTGCCAGAACAATGTTCTCACCTGAAATCTCTGCTCGACCAGTCTCACTCAGCTGGGCCCAGGACAAGTGCTGTCCACCAGTCCTGACAATTTGTCCATAACATCTCTAACAGGAGGCCAGAAGTAAGTTTCTGAGAAAGCACCATATAAACCCACTGAGGAAAAGATACATTTCCCCCTACTTTCACCCAAGGAAACCTGCCAAATGATCCAATCAAAAGACATGAAAACACAGGACAGGAGGTTATTATGGCAGCTGGAAAGATGCTTGTGTCCAGAACATATCTGAAAAAACAAACATGTCACAAACAATGGACAAAGTATTTCCATTATGTCAATGCAGCCGAGACTCTGTGGAATTGTCTGGGTTAGCCTTACTGATTCTCTGAGGACGCTTATCTCCAACCACAGCCATAATAATCCTGCACCCGCCTAGCACAGGTTTTAGAGTCAGATAATTATTTTGAAGCATTCTCCAATATTGTTTCAAGGTAGTTCAAAATGATGCACTTGGGCAAGCAGATCAGCTAAAGGAAATAAGTAGCTTGAGTGGTTTTACAAAGGTTCAGATAAAAAAGGCTATTTTTCTAAAGCATATCATCTGGCCTAAACAGGAGGTGTGGACTTGCTGCAGATACTATTGAGTCTTTGATCTTTTCTGTGTTGGAAGTCAGTTGGTCCTAATGGTCTCTTCTGGCCTTAAAAATTTATGGACTTCGTGAACAGAACAAACTGGTTTATCTACACCTAAAATTTTAAGTGACAGAACTGAATCCTTAAAATTGTAAGATTACAAATCAAATGCACGTTTAGTAATTCCTTTTTCTATCCACATTTTTGATAGCTGCTGTTCAAAACCAGTTGAAAAAATAGGGGCAATCCTAGTTCAGCCAGCTGTTTGTTTTGGGAACCACGGAGGGGAAAATCATGATCAGAGCAAAAAAAATGTGAGATACAATTTTAGATTAGAAAAAACCCACAAAAAAACCCAGAAGAGATGCTTTACTCTGTAACTTACAATCTCTACAGAAATAGTCCTTGGGAATAATTTAAGTGCAAAAAAGCTCTGATACAAAATCAGTATCAGGGAGCATTGTTTTACAGCAGCTAAGACTTCTGTTTCAGAAATCATGTGATGGCTATGCAAGCACAGTCTTCCAGCGTAAGTTTACAGATTTCACACATGACAAAGACATAAATATCCTATGACTATCAGTGACACATAGAGTTACAGTATCACTGCAATCATAGGTAAATTCCTTGTGAGCAAAAATGAACTTACGCAAATGCTTAACAGGTCTGTTAAACAGAGGCCCCACTGCTCCTGATACAGAAATTATACTGTAGGAATACCGTGATTTATGGTAATGTTTCTGTAATGAGGCCATCTCCATTTGTTTAATGATTTCTATTAAAAGGACACTCACATAACATATGATTGCCTAATTTAGAGAAGAAAATGCTCTATTTACTCCAGAAAAAAATCTTTTAACCCTTCCTCACCTGAAATTTAAGAATGTTTGCCAGTCCCTCTGTCTTACAAAACACTAAGAGCTAAATCACTGGATATAGGCTTGGATTCCTTTTCAACATTTAAGGCATCAAAACAGATGAAATTAAAGTCTTAATGACCCACTGGTATTTCTAACAGTGTGACCTATGTGATTTCAGAGGAATACAGTAATTTACATGTTTTTCTCAAAAAACCCTACAATATATCATTGTAATTAATTAAATAATGAAGTTTTATATCTCAGGACAGATGAATTAACACCTATTTGAGAAGCTCCATAAAAAATTAGGTTAGCTTATTTGTTCCTGAACGGGGGCGGGGGGGTTGAAATCTCTCCCTGTCATTTCTGTTAGTTAACCACGCATCTCGGAGCTGCAGCTGGTACCGGCGAGTCACGCATCGACAGCTCGAGCACTGGCTCACCCGCACCTCTGAATCAGCACTGGATCCCTGCAAGTTATTTCCCTGGGGGAAGCGCAGAGAAGGAGCTGGTTTTGGAAACAACGTTCCTTTTTAAGCCCTTCCACCTTGGGTGAGATCTTGGCCTCGTTAAAGCCAATTCCCACCAACTTCCACACGGCTGGGTTTAATCTTTGTTTCTGCCGCTGAGATGCACGCTAAAACGACGCACATCAACCTCAGCAGCCCCTGCGGGGGCTATTTCTCGGTCTCTGCCTCACCCCCCCACCCAAGGCCG